ATGTCTTTTTATCATAAATTTTACTTATTCAAATCCATATAATGTGCATTATGCAAAAAATAACATCATATTCTTGTTCACTATTTTCAAGACCTGAAAAAAGCCATTTTGATACTATTTGATACTACATTACTTTAGTTAGAAAGAAAATATCTTAAATTCAATTAACATATAAATCATTTAATTATCTTCAAAACCTCTGCAATAATATAACTGTCTTTTTTGCTTATGAAGAAATGAGTTCTAATATCTTAATATTCATAAATATTGTGAACATATAAAGTAAACAATCAGTAATCATATTTGTTAGTTTTGTATATAGAATAAATAAGAGTTAATCAGCCATGTTGCTTGAGATTTTCAAGCTGATTTGAATATGCAAAAACAAAAGTATAGGTTGATAAATGAGAAATCTTATAATACTCAACCAAATATTCTTTTTCTTTTAAGAAAGAAATAGCTTTTTAAATATCTAGACCTTATTTTAGATTTCTGATAAAATATGCATCAAGAGATCTATATACTTTATATTTTATATTTAAAACCTTCCTTCATCTCAATTCTTTTATGCTTCTTCTAAATTTAATTCTTTAGATGCATATTCTTTAACTACATTGACAATTTCTGATAGCTGATAGCTTTTTAAAGTTTCTTGCATAATTAAATCCTGAATAGTTTATAAATGCATGATTTTTCACTTTTTTCTAGAGGATGTAAATAATCAGATAAACCTTTAAATTATTTAACCCTTATTCTCTGTACAGAAACATAATGTTGAATCTTTCTTTTTGCGAAAAATATATTAGCTAGCTGAGTTTTTGTTATATGACATTTTTCATATGAAATGCCTTCTTTTTAGGTGTTTAACTTATTAGGTTTATTAAATCTACAAATAAAAACATTCAATGAATCACCATTGATGTTATTCTTATAGCTGAATTTAATCTATATATTTGATAGAAAAGGCTACTATTCCTTGTCAAATTCTTCTATCAAAACTTCGAGTGGATGTTTAACATTGATAAGATAGATCCATTTTTGATTAGGAGTTAGAGCTTCAAAGATAGGTATATTTATAATATTAGAAGTAAAGGAGGTAGTTATTGATCACTTGTGATAGATATTAAGAGTGGTATTTTAAAGAAAAAAAAATTTGAAGGAAAAAGAAAACCTTTGAAGAAAAAAATTTTTTTTAGAAAATTAACTTCTGAAGAAAAAGAAACTTCAAAGAAAATATTTTTTGAAATAAAAACTTCTGAAAAAAAAGAGAAGAAAACCTTAACTTTTTTTAGAATATTAGGTAAAAAAAAAGAACATAAAAAAAGAATACTACTGGTAAAGAAGACTACAGATTTGAAAAAAAGAACAAAAAAACTTTTTTCTAAAGACATATAAAAACAAGAAATACAGAGAAGAACAAGCAAGTGTTAATAAAACAAGAATGCTACCAACATAAACTTTAAACATTTAGAAAAAAATCCTTCAAATTAAAGTACCATTGCAGATTGGAGAAGAAACAACTTCAAAAAAATAAAAATTTTCCTTCTCATATTATATTCACTAATAAATATTTTCTGAAAGTAAAAAATAGAGGTTCACAATAATGCTCTGTAAGGGTCAGGTTAGGTCAGATTTGAAGTATATTTGAACTTGAACTCGTTAATAATTACAGAATCTGAGATTTAACTTGACCTGATCATTATTTGACTCAGATTTGACTTGATTAACCTAGGATAACCTGAGATTGACTTGAATTTCAAAGATAATATTAACTCTGAAATAAAAAAGCATTATATATAGTTTATTTTACAGTATTTTAAAATTGTTTAACTATTTTTTTTTACATTTTTTTTCACCAGAATTTCAAACAAATACAGATGCAATTTGTATTAGCTTTAAGACTGCATCTTTTGGTCGATATTAGATCAGTTCTGCCAGAAAAAACTTGTTCTACTGAGACACTTGTTGCTTTATTAAAAAAAGTATTTATTAATGTTAAATAACTAATTTTTTTTTTTTACTTGTAATCACAAGATAATTTCTAGCTATTATTGCTAAATGTAGATATTCAGTTTCATGTAACTATATAATTTTAATTATAAGTAATTATCCATTTGGTAATAAATTTATAAAAGTCTTTTTATGTAAATTTAAAGAATATTAAATATAAATTTATAAAGATAAATATAAAAAAAAAATAGTTTATAATATAATTCATATATCAGTAGACATTTCCTTTATATTCAAAATTCATCTAATGTACTTTGTTCTTCATTTATTAAGTGCTTTATTTTTATTGAATTTTTATCAAGATAATAACATTTTTATTGATGCCAAAAATTTATTGTATATGAATCACCAATTTTGCGAAACCATGTTTTATGACTTCTAAAATATTTTTAAATAAAAAAGAAAATCTACATATATACTGTTTTCTTTTTAAAAATGTAAAAGAATATATACAAGCAATTAAGACAATGAACATCATGATATGTACTTAAAAAATTATATTTTAGCAAAAGAACTTTCTCTTCAAAAAGTTCTTTGACAAAAAGTTCACTTTGCAATCATTTTTTAGAATTTTCAGTAATATCTATATTGGTAATATCTATAGTTTTACTTATTATATATTATTTGTTTACAAATTCAAGTCACATAACGTAAATTAGTTTAGCATGTAATTTATATTGTAAAAAATTAGATCACTGATCATCTGGGTCACTCAGGTTATCTAAGTTAAGTAAAAATATGATTCTAACCTGATGGGTTTTATCGAATTAGGATTCGTATCATAAAAATAATAAACCTAATTTGAGAAAAATTCAAGTCAAGTTAAATAATCCAGGTTGACTCGATTGACTTAGAGCACTAGTCTATAATATAGAAACCCTTCATTACTATTAAAGATTAGTTTCAAAGCAAAGAGTTTTATGCGTAACAATTTTTAGAAAATTTATTTGCATTACCACATGATTATATTCAGTTGACCATTTGATCTTCTAATATGATTCTACTAATCCTATCAATCACGTGATCAAATCTGACTTTAAATGTTTCTCTCATTGGTAATATTTTTTTATTATTTTTTTTTATTGAATTTTTTTTTTAAATTCCCTACCACTGGTATTTTTTTTCATTAAATTTTTAGATATTTTTTTAAATTTTAATCTCTTTTTAATATTTTTGTTAATTTTTTTAGTTTCTTTTTTTATTTTGTTTAATATATCTTTTTTCATTCTTTGGTAGTTCTTTGGTCCTTTTGTTAGTGGTTCTTTGGTCCTTTTATTGGTAGTTTTATTGGTAGTTTATTGGTAATTTATTAGTGATTCTTTGATCCTATCATTGATAGTGCTTTATTCCTTTCGTTAATGATTTTATTAGTAGATTGTTAGTGGTTCTTTGATCCTTTTATTAGTAGTTCTTTGGTCTTTTCATTAGTGGTTTCATTGATAATTTATTGATAGTTTATTAGTGGTTTTGTTAGTATTTTGATTCTTTCATTAGTAGTTCTTTGATGGATTTGTTAATACTTTCATTGGTGGTTTTTTGAGTCCTTTTGTTAGTAGTTTTTAGTTTTTTCATTAGTGTTTTTTTAGTTCTTTCATTAGTAGTTTTTAGTTCTTTCATTGGTAGTTCTTTGGTCCTTTTGTTAGTAGTTTTTTGGTATCTTTGTTAATACTTTCATTAGTGGTTTTTTGATCCTTTCATTGGTGATTCTTTGGTACTTTCATTGGTAGTTCTTTAGTTCTTTTATTAATCCTTTTATTGATAGTTCTTTGGTCTTTTCATTGGTGGTTCTTTGGTCATTTTGTTAGTCCTTTCGTTAATAGTTCTTTGGTTTTTTCATTAATAGTTTTTTAGTTCTTTTATTCTTAGGTTCTTTACTTTTTTGTTTTTTTAGTACTTTTGTTTTTTACTTTTTTTATTTATAGATTCTTGCTTCTTTTATTCTTAGATTCTTTGCTTCTTAAGTTCTTAGGTTTTTTATTTCTTTATTTCTTTTATTTTTTATTTCTTTTATTCTTGGATTCTTGGGTTCTTTGCTTCTTTAATACTTTCATTTTATTAGTTATTTATTTCTTTTCTTTTCCTTTTTATTTCTTTTCTTTGTTTTTCTTTTTCCTTTTTCATTTTTTTTCTTGTATGTTTTTTAAAAAAATAAAATAAAATAAAAAAGAATAAAGTGAAAATAAAAAAAAATAAAAAAAAATAAAATAATGATTTTGCCAAATCTCAGCAATATGATTATTTTTATATAGCATTACAATTTTTGTTTATTATTTTTCTACTTTCAGTGATTAGTGATTTTACGACCCGTCTAAAAAGGTAGCATAACATTTTTGTTAGTGAACTCACTGGCATAATATACTTAGATAAAAATCTTAATTTTTTTATTATACTTTTGATATATTTTTGATATATTTTTAATATATATCATCAATCATTAAAACCATGTTATCTAGACTTATAATTTCATCTTAAAATAATGTCAAAAAATTGAAATAGTTTTATAATGAATTTATAATAGTTTTATAATAGTTTTATAGTTGATTTTTAATAGTTTTGTAATTGATTTATAATATAATTGTAATTATTTTTTTATTATATATATATTATACAGCTGTATAATAAAAAATATTATATACATAATACAAGTTTGTTTTGTCATATTTTCCATTATGACAACCCAATTTTTGACATTGATGTATAAAATGCACATTTGGTTGATGATCTACCTATTTAACTACATAAATTCAAAATCAAGTTTGATCTATTAATCTTTGAAGTCTATATCATGAACATCCTAATTTTAAATTATAACATTTTAATGAAACAAACCAATTTAGTAATAAAAAAGAAATATGTATATGATTTCTTGTATGAATAAAAATTGCCTGAATTTGTGCATATAAAATTACTGTCTTTGGATTATTTAATGTATCATTTGATATATCTTCTAAAATATCTACAGTATTACCAATACGAAGGTTTACATCTACTCAATCATCATTATTAACTATAGTATAGCTAATACTATTGAAATATTTTACAGTTTGTGATGTAAAATGTTCAACACAACTAAGTTCTTTTTTATATGCATGTCTAAGTTCAGCAAATAAATCATCATTAAGAACTTTCTCAAAGCTAGCAGTTGTAGGTCATTCTTATTATATATTTTTTGAACTCTTATATTGATAAAATTTTCATCTATACAGGTTATATTATATATCTTTTTCTGCTCTAAATCTATTATTGATGGCAAAATGTATCATAAATTAAGCAACATACATACACATCAATCCTTTGACAATGTGCAAAAATTAAAGTATGTTGTCTTATAATATCTTTCGTCAATACCACTATCCATTAGAAACTGTAATGCTTGCAAACAATTATCACAACGCATAAAATTCAGTTCTATATTTTTTTTATTTGAATGAGAGATAATAGCCTTAAAAAGTCTATGCACCATTTTCTTCATAGCAACTAAAATATTCACTAATGTTGCAAAATTCTATGCATGCATAATAAAATGGCGTAATATATGAAAATTCATTAATTGACTAATATTGAAAAAAACCTGAAAAAAGGTTAAATTGTTCGAAATATACTAACCAATCTATCAATATTAAATTTTTGATTACCTTTGCAATCAGTCTGGACTATAGTATTATACTTTGTTGAAGATTGTTATAATCAACATCAGAAAATTCTTTGTGAAATTTCAGAGATACCATTCAAGAGAAATAAACCCATAAACCTAACAATTTATTCAGAACCTGACTTTTTGTTATTATGCATATCTCAATCACGTATTTGATAAATATTTTATTAATGAGAAATAGCATAATTATACTTAGACGAAGATAATCAGAAAAAAATATATTCCTAAATAGGTAATTGGATTTTATTGTCGAGACTAATATGGGGAAATTTGAAGTCATGCCAAATTTTCAAAAATTCATTCTCTTCTTTTGAGAATAAGATTTTAAATGTTGATTGAAGCATTTCTTTGGAAAGATCACCCATGTAATGAAAAGCATTGTATGAATATTGAAGATGATAATCATGTATAATGTTATCAAAAATAGGAGATTTTTCTCATATACTGTATTGCATAGTAAGTGTATCACTTTATGTTTGAGTCTGAACGCTTCTTATGGTAGAAAATTGCAATGTAGTTTTGTGATGGTAATAACTATATCTCGCAGTGTCAAAACTAACATCATCTAATTTGCTATAATGAATCATACAGTTACGGTATTCATGATGTGCATTGTGATTCTTTATTCTCACCTGTTTATTATCTTCTGATAAGTCACTAGTAATGACACCTAATCTACCAATAACCAATACAGTTTGATTATTGATTTTCAATTCGTATTCACATTTGAGGTCTTGAATATTATTAATAAGTGATTGGAGTATTTCATCACTCATTGCTGCAAATGGGATAAAATCAAGAAGAAAGTGATTTTTAAGCTTTTGATTAAGCGTTTGTTTCATATTACTGATTTATAAGTAGAGGCCACTGATGGTGTGATATGTAATACAAAACAGACTGAATTTATCAATATAAATGTCAAGAAAAAATTTGAATATTGGCAAATTATGCAGATGATCCTAAATCGTAATATATTCAATAGGATGAAGGTATCATAAATCAATCAACCTTGTGGTCCACTGTATATTTATACAATACATAATTTCAGATATAACATATTGATAATTATTAGGCTTGTTAACATCAATTAATCAAATATCAACTTTGGACTTAATCTTTGTAGGATTTATGACAAGCATTTCATCAGTCATTCACAGATATCCTTTATGAGAAGCAATTCTTCTTTGTTAGGATTTGAGTATAGGGGCAATAAATTAAATTCAAGAATACATTCGATCTTGATACATCTATCTTAAGATTTATTAATGTGTAAGATTGATATAATTTGCCTATAACATGTTCGTTAGCTTGTATCGTATATATAATAAAATTACTAAGACTATATATTACTATTTTCATATTAATGATATAATTAATAAATAAATTAGTATAACGGCATATAGATTTTAAATTAAAAAAACAATATTATATTTACCTTCATTTAGTTTTATGTAAACACTACTGAATAATGAGGATTTGTATTAGAGATCTCTATGCTATAATTCATGTTTATTCTTACAGTACACACCTGGACTAAAGTACATATTTTCATATAATAATGGATTTGCTAATATATGATGAAGAATGTCCTTTAAAGAAAAATTTAAAGCATTACAGGTAGGTTTAGAAGTATTGTGATTGTTAAGGTGACTTTGTGACCTTTAAATAGAAGAAGTGGTAAGCCATCATGATACTTTTTAATAATTACAAGCAAATATGGAACATTTTAATGATATTTGCAAAGTCTTTATATGCTTCGAAGTAGTGTTCCGCAAAATCAGATCAGATCAGATTTGGATAAAATCCGATCCGATCTGATTTTCATTTTTCAGGTTCTGAATCCAATCTGAATCTGACGGATCTGTTAAAATCCAGATCTGATCCAAATCTGACAGATCGAATCTCAAATTCGGATTTGACAGATCAGTTTAAATCCAAATCCGATCTGATCTGGATCTGAAATTTTTATTAAAAAACGATTTTTCAGTTCTAAAAGAGTTCCGAAAAGTCGTTCCTTTACAATGAAAGGACCTTTTCGATTCTAAAAGAGTTCTGAAAAGTCATTCCTTTACAATGAAATAAACCTTTTTGGCTCTAAAAGAGTTCCGAAAAGTCATTACTTTACAATGAAAGAAACCTTTTCGGCTCTAAAAAAGGTCTGAAAAGTCATTCCTATTTAATGAAAGGAACCTTTTTGGCTCTAAAAAAACTCTGAATTCTTATTTTTCGGTTCTAAGAAGGTTTAATCTAATTTTATAAAATTTTATACAATATACAATAATTAAATTTTATTTCATAATTTTTATTATTATAAATATAAAAATAAATAAATAAATACATAAATAAATAAAATAATATATATATAAAAAATATAAAAATAAAAATAAATTTTTTTTTAAAAAA